ATTAGGAAGCGAAAATGGATGCGGACGATTTAAATGGCTTCTTTTCTTTCCTAGATATATTTCTGACACAAAAAGAATTTATGTTAAATGAAGTCCAAAATTTCATGGTACGTTGACTCTATTCACAGTTGATTATTCATTTTGACAGCCGTTTCCAAAATAGGCTGATGAACACAAACGGATCGAAGTCTTTTTTGGCGACAAACCTACAATAGGATTCACAGCTGTACAGCATGGAAAACTTTCTTGAATTTTAACCAAAGTTCACTTTTAAATATAGTTTTTTTTAATAAAAGAGAAGGAAATAAGCTAGTTTTTCTACATGAAAGATAAACATATTAAAGTAGAATTCTATGTGCGATCGTCCTTCAGATCCACAGAGTTGTGTTCAAAATCTATGCCAGTTTAAGATTTTTTTTTTCCTAACTTAAATTGTTCTCGCTGACTAGTTTAATATAAAAACTATTGAATTGTGTGCTGGTGAAAATAAAACCGCAGTCTTTTAAATTAACATTTTGAATTAATAACTTTAAAAAAACAGAATAAAAATTTTAAAATCTGAAAGATTTCAGATTTTAAATTACGTCCAAAGGGACGTTTTTTTTAACATTTTGTCTGTTACCTTTATTAAATATCACGTTCTTCGTACTTAAACCATCAAATTCAGTTCAAAAGCAATATCGCAAAATAACTTTAAATTGAGCACATCTGTAGAATTTCGATACACAGTCTCACTCAAGCGCTGGAGATAAAAATGTTTTTTCTGTACAACGTTGCCAATGCTCGCTTTGAAATCTTTGAGTTTGTTAATCAAAAAAATCGTTATTTTACAAAATATAAAATCTATAATAAAACAAATTCCAAATTTGGGCTTCCAGATGCCCATATTCGCAGCAGGATTACGTCATTCAAAATTAGATGGCTGTAGGTACCGTTGCGAGAAACATACATACATTTATACAGATTCTTCATTATTTAATTTCTTCAAATATAATACAGGCCGATAATATTTGGTAGCAACAGTTTGACAAGTGAAACGGGCATTCAGAGTGATTCGACGCAAAATCGCAAGACGAAAACAATAGTCTCTCAGAGATAAAGCCCCTTTGGACTAATAATACCTTATCTCGCTTAAAGTTTAAAAAATGTTAAGCTATATTTTAACACATTTTTCAGTAGCGAAACAGGGAGCAGTCAAAAGTGGGGAACTGTAAAAGTATGCGTACAAGTACCTGATCTGTAAACTTTCTTGGGCGTGGAACGTCCTACTAAATTTATGTGGAAGAGACTGACTTGAATCAACATATTTATTGATTTTCATATTTAAAATAACTGTAAATCAATTCACATTAAAAAAGTCTTTAACGAAAGCAGAGCTGTGTGAAAAAATATCGGAATTTTATATTGGATATCGTGCACTGAATTACTTTGAAAACAATTCTAAGGCTATTAATAGAACGAAATACCTTAATGGTAATCTTCTGTTATTCGATTAATTAGTTTTTTGTAGCATTTATAAATCGTAATTTTTTTCTGCATGTTTTCAATAAATGAAATTGAAAAATCTGTTGCTTTTTGAAAGGATATTCTTAGCAATTATTTAACTTTTTCCTTCTAAGAATTTTTTTTTTTTTATTTAGGAGGGGGGCTACGGAAAGCATAAAGGAAATGAAGTTGCATTAATCTGTTCATTACTACATAAATGGTGAATTTTCTAATTTCCATAAGAGTCAGATTGACATTTTCTGATTTCCTTTGGAACATTTTTTGCGAAGGTATCATGCTCTTGAGTTAACAAATTTGCCGACAAATTTGTAAAGCCAAGATGTCTGCATGTAAAAAAGAAACTTTTCGTGTATAAATTTGTTTCAAATTCATGAATTCGAATTTCGATTTCGAACACCTGCGCATTCATTTTCCATCACAACCTGTCAACAGCTGTTTCCCTTATCCTCCCCCCCCAATCAGATCTAGTGGATATAAAGAATGCTGTTCATTGAATAAAACAATTTTTTTATTTGATAAATTAAGTTTTATGAATAGTGTTTGAGTAAATAGGAAAGCTATCTGTTGTATGATTAGATTATGATCTATTTAGTCCGCAACAAACACCCCCTTCTTCTAATTGTTAAATAATTTTAAAGGAAAAAAAGTTAATTATTTCCATTTCGCTGATTTAATATCATTGCAAAATAAAAAGTATTTCTGCTTGAATTATATATTTGTTGCAAGCAATCCTGTGAAATAAAGGCATAGATACATCTTGAACAATTCTTTCTTTTCTTTATTGAATAAGTGGAGAAAACTTTCTCCTGTGGTGACGATAAAATAGTATCACACCAAAGTTTTCCCTTTCACCATTTAGCATTGCTGTTTTTAACAGCTTGATATCATTGCAAATTAAAATTAGACATGTGATTTTATGTTCCATATATTGAATTTTCCGGGAATTAATTCTTAAATCGGTATGTTAATTATAACTATTTAGCTTTAAAAGTTTTACTTTTTTTGCTAGGAATTTTAATACTAATTTTTCCAAGAACTTAACCTATAATCTGAAGTTTTCAGATTGTAGTTTCTTTATTACAGTTATTACTTTTAATTTACTGGATTTGTTTCGAATGAAGATGAAAAAACGAGCGATGAATATTAATAACACTGTACATTACAATTAAAGAAAAAAAGAAAGAAAAAAAAAACAGAGAGAGAGAAAGAAAAGAAAAACTCATAAAAATATTCAATTAAAAGTATATATTAATCCTTATAAATAATAAGTATCCAGTTTCAGAAATTTTCCGTTGGAAGTAGTTCTTTATAATAGAATGCGAAAACATATTTGTATAATTTGAAGAATAAACTTAAAATGATTTTATAGACTGGCTACACTTTTCGTTTAAACAGCATTCTCAGATAATCGAAGTTCGTTATATTGTATTAGTGTTACTTCTATCTAAGAATGATATATATGGGATTTGCAGGTCATGAGATATTTATGCTGCGTATTAGAGAGTCGCGATCAAAGTACTAGCATAGGTAAAATATAAGCGTGCAACTTTGTATTAACTATTGAATACATTTTTGCAATGAGAACGACATAATAGCGTTTCATAATAATAAACATTTGCGTTGTTATTAAAATAGTTGTTAAAGGAGTAATATATTAATAGTTATTAAAGGAGAATATAACGATATAATATATATAATCAATCAGTTATCTTTTATTTCCTTGTTCCATTTACACGAAAAGCACTAAAGCAGGCTAAAAAATTAACTACGTAATTTGCAGTATGTATGATCATAAATATTGCAATATGAATATAAAAACTACAAATCTATTCAACATATATAAAATACACTTAGTAAGACGCAGATAAAATAAGCATAAAACAACAGACCTAAGCTATGTAAAGGGCAGTAAATATATTACGCCATACAAAAGGTTTCATTATATCATCTTATATTCAGTGCCTGCAATAAATCTCATAAAAGGGCTCATAAGTTGTCTGAGTTCTTTAATACAAGAGTCAGTTTGAAAAATAATATTTAAAATTATATTTGACAATGGCCTGTGAGAGAATATTCTTCTCTTTTCTTCCAAATTCGGACAGTCATATATAGATTTCCTACCGCGTATACAAACATCTGGCATGGGTAGGTTATTCAAAGACGAATGGCGATCATGATATGAGAAACAATTTTCCTATAACTGAATTAAGGAATGATAAAGAGTGAATAAAGGAAGGATTCTCATACTTTCTGCCATCAAAATTACCCAATATATCATTAATTAAAAACTTTGGAGAGAATACCCAAATATCGCTAAAGACAGCAGCTCACGTTAAGCAGCCAAATGCAAAACATGTATATAAGATAGCTTTTATATAAAAAAAACATTAATTTAGTAGCAACGAATACAAAGCTAATCATAAATATGCTCGTCTCCGATTGCACTGATAAAACAAGTTTCAGTTTAACGATAGAGCATTTGTTTGAACAACTCCAGCATTGATCCATCTGTATCTTAAAAGTAAGAAAATTTTCTGAACTTGGATTGAACAACAATCGTTGAGTATCGTCATATCTAAACTTTAAACCATGAGAGGAAATCTGCACTCTTTAGTTTAAAAAAGTCTAATATGGACACAACACTGACTTGCTTTTGCAGCCTGTTAAATTATGCACATTTTTTGCTACACTTCATTGACGCTTATTTCTTTGAATTTCATTAGATATATTTCTCATTCAGTCAGTTCAGTTCTCACTCGCTACAGAGCAATAATACAAAAAACTCAAAACATTGTAAAATTGTAAAATATAGGAAAACGTGAAAAACCAAATGCAGTTTAAAACAGTTAAAATTACGCAGTTTTTACGCAAAAACAAGGAATTCGGCAACGGACAAAAAAACAAAATTTTCAGAGCGAAAAATTAAAAGTCGACTTATGGCGCCGCTGTGTAAAAAGACACTGAAATTAGTGCACCAGCTGACTTAATTCGCTATATATTAAGAGTTTCAAATGTAATGTCAAGCAGCCGCCACGTTAAGTCTAGCGAAACTTACGCTTTTAATTTGTTCATAATTTTACAGCTATTGCATGAAGATTAACTTGTGGTATGAGTAGTTAACAAGTCCAGCTAGCAATTGAAAGAGCCGGGTTCGAATCCTGGTGAGAACACACTTGATTTTCCTGTTCTAAAAATATTTGATGATTTCAAGAGTGGTGCCTGAACTAAAATGTAGTTGATGATAATTCTTCACCGCTTAAATTTGTTCGACTGGGTTTCATGCGTTTTCCGCCATTAAAAATTGAGGAAGAATATAAGGAATTATCACATTCTCCCATTCATTTCCTTGTGGTGTAATGATTAATACGTCTAGCTAGTAGCTGGAAGATCCAGGGTTCAAATTCTGGCGAGAATACAGTTGATATTTCACGTTTCCTGCTCCAAAATTTCAATAGTCTTTGCAGACTGATGTTGGCCGTATAGAAAACGTACTCTGTTCCGAGAAGTTTTTTATTTATAGGAGAGGGAATAACACAGGTTTATTCATAATTCCGTGAAACTTTTTAAAAACTCGTAACAAATAAACTACGTAACCGAGAATAAATGGTATTACACTAAAATGCAGGAAAAATACATCTTTTTTTTTTTTTTTTTTTACATACTCCACAAATTTTCTGTGTCCACCTGTTTGCTGATACCGCAGACGTCTGTGGTATAATCCGTTTCGTTTTGAACGGTGCCTGCATATCACGATCGACCACAGACGGTTGCAAAGATTCTGGATTAGCTGGAAGTAGAGGGAAGAAAACATTAAGTATTTTTGACAAACGCCCAAAAAAGCACATGGAATTAAATATGAAGACTAAATCAGCAAAAATAGACCCACTGAGTACTTGTAAAACGCATGAAAAAGCTTAATGAGTTTTCCTTTATTTCAAGATAATAAAATTTGGCATCGTTTGCGTAATTTATTTATTTTTAACTCTTATAATGTATTAAGGAAATATGAATAACCCCGTATTTTAATTAAATGAAAGATTCCATGTGGATCTTGCATCCCATAATGACTTCAGCGATCAACGAATTTTCTGAAGATAGATCTTGCTTCATAACTGATAATTTAGAGCTGCCCCAAGTTCTTAACCCAGACGATCCCGATGTTATTAACTTCACTGGAAATGCGCGAGTTGTACGATTTGCTTCCATTTGCGAGGCCTCTAAGATCGTTCCCAACAAAAGCTATTACGAAATTCGATGCTTTTATTAAAGGTGAACGACATGCTAACCTGAAGAACTGGTTTTTATACCGAGCTTTCTTCAAAAGCGATCGTCTGATTTGCTGAGTGGTTTTGCGCTGATACGTATTTATAATTAAAAAAATACTGAAATAAAAGCCCAGCTTGAGAATAAAAAAAGGCTTGTAAACATAGTTTTAAGGAGGGAAAGTCAACCGGTGACTTTGCTTTTCTTTCTTTTCCCCTTTTTTTATTGTACTGTAATTGTTTCAGAACAGAGATCTTTGAGGGGCAATTATGTATTATCCTTTATAGATTCTCTTCGTTTTTATTTTTTTATAAGTAATTTTATCAAATGGGTTTCAAATGATAGTTTTGGTTACAGTGAATAATTTTTTTGAGCGGAACGTTAACATTTGAAGGTATTCTCGTCTGTGGAAGGGTCTTTTGAAATAATAGAAATCTATGTTTTATTTTTTAACTTAGCTAATTAGTTGCACTTTGTTGTAGGAACTATAGTTCATTTAATGCATTGATATAAGTATCTTATCTTAAGAAATAATCGTTACTTTTTTTAGGCATTCTTTCAGTTTTATTTTTTTATCGATTATAAATTTATCTAGTATTTCATTCTATATTTCTCAAACTTGTGTAATTATTTTAATTGGGTATTTGAATATTGGAGCAACTATATGCAGTATCAATTAAAAATATTTGCAATACTTTTATGATATGCGTCACATCATAAAAATGTTAATCAGGCATATACTCAATAAAAATTAGTAGTAGTAAAATGATTTATAAAGACAATATATGTATTTATAAATCATAAATAATGAAGAAATATTTGAAGGTTTATTATTTATAAATGATAAAGTGAAACGTGTATGAAGAGCATTATAAAAATTATAAAGTAAGTAAAAGAAAAGCGTATAAGACTAGAATATCAGCAAAAATTTAAAATGGTGAGGCTTTGTAAAGAAATCAAAATAAAAGCGTAAAAAATAAGTTGAATAACAAAGAATTGCATATCCTAATTTTCAGATTTGTGTGTAAAAATGCGTGTGAGAGAAAAGTTTGATTTCGTTTATTTTTTTATCAAATGGCGAGTATTTGCCTTTTTCCTAAGGTTATGGTGGCCATTTTATTGTGGAGGCACCTAACAGAGGGCTACCTTTACCTCCGTTGAGGGGACAGACGAAGTGCATCCATGCCTTCTCCGAGCTTCGAACCTGGGGCCTCTGGTATCGCTATCGAATCCCCCTAACCACTATACCGTCTGAGCGGCTCATTTTTTTCATTTCATTTGTTTGTTTATGGCAAAGCACTCGAGAACTATCTGCCTAAGGGAAGGGATACCTTTATGGAGGAGTTTGTAAAGGAAACTGACTCGTATGCACGTTACACATGGGGAAAACCACAAAAACGCCCATGCGGGCAGCCCCGTTCACGGGATTCGAAACTGGGACCGAACTACCAATTTTCAGCGACTTTACCGTTCGGCCGCTGGTGAGCCGTATGAGGAGAAAGAGACAAATAGAGAGAATGAAAAGGGGAAAAGAAACCAAATGGTTTTGAACTGAGTTACATAACATATTGCGTTAGAAGCATCTTTTATTTATTCCAACAATGCTGCAAATTTTTATAAAATTATCAATTGTATAAATGTATGTATTTATGCCAATTTAGGCTCATAAATTAAATTTATTTATGCCGAACAAATGTACTGAGTAAAATACGAATAGAATAAAAATTAAAACTATTAAGAAGTACTTTCGTTTCTTTTAAATCACGCATTTATTAACTAGATCAATTGTTATTTAAAAGATAATTAACAATCTTAGTTCACGTCAAATGGCTATACTCTTATGACTATCTGCTAAACTGTGTGGAAGACATTTGAAATTTTTTTGAGTTAATTAGCGCAATATCAAGGGGGTTCATACACCTTAAACCCCTTTTGAACTTCGAATATGTGACTGTTGCAAGCATTAGAATATTTTATTTATTTTAATAGCAATTACTTCCAACTTTTTACAGCTGACTACATAATATAGCTGCTTTGGAAACTAGTAACCAGAAAATTTGTGTTGCCACAAATATTTTTGTAATTTAATCCTCTTTGTGACAAAAATTTTTCGTAACGTTTCCAACTTGTGCGCATAATATTTTAAAAATGGCTAATGATACATATTTGAAATTTGATGGAATTCTTTATATGGGCACTATTTTCTAAACCAAAAATCCGATGAATATTTTAATATTAAAAAATTTTATGCACGAAATCATTACAGATTTTTTAAAAATAAAATACATTTTATAAACTCAACTCCAAATAAATTAAAAATTTAACATGAAATTCTTAGAACTTTTGGTTCGCAGTAGTTTCCAAATGTTATAAAAGGTATATATTAAATATAGAATTAAATTATGCAACATAATGTTTTAAACTGTATGGAAGGAAAGGTGGAAACATGACGAAAAATTTTGTCACAAAGCGGATAAATTATAAAAATATTTGTGGCAACACAAACTTTCTGATTATTATTTCAGAAAGCAGTATATTATGTAGTCAGCTGTAAAAAGTTAGAAGTAATTGCTTTTAAAATAAGTAAGTTATCCTAATTCTTGCAACAGTCACATATTCGAAGATCTTATGGGTTTTAAGGTGTATGAGTCCCCCTATGTATAGTAGTTTAATGTAGTTTAACGGTTCAGAAGCTTTGAAAATATTCTGTTAAATAGGTTTATAACGCCGAAATGGAAAAGGTTCAAGGGAAGTAATTTTTTAAATAATGATTTCTGCTTTTAAGGCATGTAATATTAATTTCAGTTTACCTTCAAGCATTCGTAAATACAGTTTATTATTATTATTATTATTATTATTATTTAAGTTATGGAGGGAAATGGTGTACATGAACATCATCAAATTTTTGTTAGAAATATAATTTTAATTGGAATTAGTTAGTCATTAAGATATTAGAATTCTAATTTTAGTTAAGATTTTGCTACCTTTCTCTAACCTCTCCCTCTTTTCATATACCTTCCTACATGATTAATAAATTAAATATTTTCTATCTGCCTCTGGGTAAAATATAATATTTTACATCTGTTAGTTATTTATTATATATTCCAGTAAACATAACGTGTTTATTTGAATAATATTATAAAGAATAAGATTCTAATTAAGCTAGGTAATGAGTTTCTAATTATAATATTTTATACAAAAGAAAATCAATATATCAGTCAAAAATAATGTTATAGACCATACAATCTCAGTCGCCAACTCTATCTACGTAGCTTCATTAAGAAAGCAGTACATTGTTATGGCAAACAAGAACATGGCATCTGTATTTAAACAGGTGCACTCTCGGGGCTTGCAATAAAAATAACTTATGTTTGAATAGTAGTAAATAAGAAGACTGTAGCACGAGTACGTTCATGAATAAAAGATTTCACTAGTCTAGAACTGAAGAATTTTAGTGGAATAAAATAAAATATTATCTTCGAAGAATAAACTGCATTGGACATCAATGAAGCATGTGATGTATCTTTTAAACCTGTGAATGTATGCAAAATAATACATCAGAAAATTCCTCGTATTTTCTTTCTTTTCCTCTCTCCGTCCTCTTTCAACGCTATGCGAAGATTAACGTACTCGTATTTTTCTCATTGACAGTGACCTTATTTAGTGAATGGACGAATAGGTAAGACAGCTACAAATTTATAATAAAGATCTACCCGTTAGCTGCATTTTTGTGCATACTTTTCAGATTTTAATTCGACTTCTGATAATTGAACTTGAATGCCTTATTCTGCTCTGATGCGGATTCCGTAGATTGTTTTGGCACCTGTATAGGCGGAAAATCCTGCTTTACAGAGATGTGTAATTGAGATAAACCCTAATTTTGCTTGACAAGATTTTTAAATTCATCTAATATGTTGTCAGGACTTGTATGTCTTTTGACTTGCTTCGGAAATATGACGTACCCTGAATAAGAACAGGGAGCTTACTAAAGCTCTGTCCCAGATTGTGTGGAATAGACAACACAAGTAGCAAGGGTATACTGAACCCTTTATTCTCTATTACGTTACAGGTGCTCCCGTACTTCGGGATACAGAGACCAACTACTTGTGGTCTGAACGTAAAAATATAAAAACTACTAACTAAAAGCTAACTTTGAATTAGTATACAAATGTCTAACACTAAGACTGGCCTTTTTAAAAAAGTTACGTTGGTAGTACGCAAACTGCTGAAACTACTATACGTTTTAAATATCAAGAGGACTAAACCTCTGGCTTTAAAGGCAAGCAGTAACTGATCGAAAACTCGTAAGAATGCAGTGGCAAAGCGACTTACTTCCTCTCTCTCTCTCTAACTCTTGGCAAAAAACCACGACTTATGGGCGTTAGCAAATACAATCTGCATAAACAACTTAAAGCATTTAATTCTGGCCGGAAGTGGAAAATAAGAAAGATAGTAAAGTTTTAAAATAAAATAAAAGTTAGTAAAACTTAAGATCCTTATAATGTAGCCAATGTTCTGATTGAT